CTCAGGTGTATTGGGGGTCACACCTGGGCTCACCTGAGCTCACCTGTCCCCCCCCGTAGGGCGTCGGCGGCGCAGGCGGGGCACCTGGAGGTGGTGGTGGGTGGGCACATACCTGTGCTCAGGTGTATTGGGGGTCACACCTGTGCTCAGGTGTATTGGGGGTCACACCTGTGCAGGTGTGGGGCTCACCTGAGCTCACCTGTCCCCCCTTAGGGCGTCGGCGGCGCGGGCGGGGCACCTGGAGGCGGCGGTGGGTGGGCACATACCTGTGCTCAGGTGTATTGGGGGTCACACCTGGGCTCACCTGAGCTCACCTGTCCCCCCGTTAGGGCGTCGGCGGCGCGGGCGGGGCACCTGGAGGCGGCGGTGGCCTCGTTCCGGGGTCGGGCGTTGGCGGCGGCCGAGCTGCGGCGTCGGGGGCGGGCCCTGGAGGAGCGACACCTGGCCCAGGTGCGCCGGGCCAATCACCTGCAGCAGCAGCTGGGCCGCGCCCAGGCCAGCAGGGAACAGCTGGAGGCCGCCCGCAGGCAGGTGAGGGGCACAGGTGAGGTGGGCGAGGCCATACGGGAGGAGGGGGTGGAGCCAGGTGAGGTGGGCGGGGCCATACGGGATGAGGGGGTGGAGCCAGGTGAGGTGGGAGGGGCAGGGCGTGGCTCAAGGCCACCTGGAGACAGGTGAGGCGGTGCAGGTGAGGTGGGCGGGGCCATACAGGATGAGGGGGTGGAGCCAGGTGAGGTGGGCGAGGCCATATGGGACAGGGGGTGGAGCCAGGTGAGGTGGGCGGGGCAGGGCGTGGCTCAAGGCCACCCGCAGACAGGTGAGGGGGCTCAGGTGAGCAGGGGCGGGGCTGGGAGGTGGAGCCAGGTGAGGTGGGTGGGGCTAAATGGCCCTACAGGTGTGGCAGGTGAAAGGGGTGGAGCCAAATAACCCTAGGTGAGGTGGGTGGGGCTAAGGAGCCCTAGGGGTGTGGCCAGGTGAGGTGGGTGTGGCTAAATGGCCCTGCAGGTGTGGCTGGGTGAAAGGGGCGGAGCCAACCAAGCAGAGGTGTGGAGCCAGGTGAGGTGGGCGGGGCTAAGGACCTATAGGAGTGGGGCCAGGTGTGGTGGGCGTGGCTGAATGGCCCTACAGGTGTGGGCGGGTGAAAGGGGGCGTGGTCAAACACCCTCAGGGGGGCGGTCCCAGGTGAGCAGCACAGGTGTGCGGCTTTACGGGGCCGTGGGCGTGGCCAGGTGAAAGGGGCGTGTCCGGGGGGGGCGTGCCCACCCCCTGGGCGTGTCCCACCTGCCGAGGGGGCGTGTCCCACCTGTTCCCCGCCCCCCCAGGTGGAGGAGCTGTCAGAACAGCAGGAGGAGGCGGAGCTTCGGGCCCGGAAGTGGCACCTGGAATTCCGGCACCTGCAGGAGCGATTCCAGGCCCTGAGCCAGGAGAAGGAGGTGGGCGGGGCCAGGGCTCACCTGGGGACCCCTCCCCCCGCACACCTGGGCGCTCACCTGACCCCGCCCTGACCCTGACCCCGCCCCCCCAGAGGCTGCTGGAGGAGAGGGACGCCCTGAGAGAGGCCAATGAGGAGCTCAGGTGTGCCCAGGTACTGGGCTGGCCAGGTGAGTCACACCTGGGGGGGGGGGGG